CTGCTTGAAGACTGAGCTGTCATGGGCTACATCTGAGAAAGGGGTCTAGGTTAACTCCATGCATGGTCCTTGGTTGGAGAACTGATATTTGCAAAGACCCCTGGGCCCAGATTTTTTGGTTCTGTTGGTCTCCTTGTGGAGTTCCTGTCCTCTCCAGATCTTTATTTCATAAGATTCCCTGCACTCTGCCCAAAATTTGGCTATGATTCTCAGGATCTGCTTGGATACTCTTCTAGATAGAGTCTTTCAGAGGCCCTCTGTGGTAGGCTCCTGTCCCGTTCCCTGTTCTTTGTTTCTAGTTTAGTGATTTCACTCTGAGTTTTGTTATTTCCAGCAGTCTACAGATCTTGGGTGTGTCTGTTTCTTTTTTTTTTCCTAGAGCTTTCAGGTGTGCAGTTAAGTTCTTTGTATGAGATGTCTTGTATTTCTTTATGAAAGCACTTAGTGCTATGAACTTTCCTCTTAATACTAATTTCATTTTGTCCCATAAGTTTGGGGAAGTTGTGCCATCATTTTCATTGACTTATGGGAAATCTTTAATTTCTTTCTTTATTTCTTCCCTGACCCAGATGTCCTTGAGTAGAAAGTTGTTCAGTTCCATGCATGTTACGCTTTTTGCTGTTTCTGTTACTGTTGAGGGCAAGTTTTAGACCTTGGTGGTCTGATACGATACAAGGGATGATTTTAATCTTCTTGTATCAGTTGAGGCTTGTTATGTGCCAAGTATATGGACAGTTTTGGAGAAGGTTCTGTGAGGTGCTGAAAAAAAAAATTCTTTTGAGTTTGAGTGAAAAGTTCTGTAGACATCTATTAGGTCCATTGGGAAAAAGATAGCATTTTAAACAAATGGATCTGGTCTAACTGGATGTCTACATGTAGAAAAGATCTTCACCAACCCAACAGCTGACAGATGGCTAGTATCCAGAATATATAAAGACCTCAAAAAGTTAATCTCCAACAAACCAAATAATTCAATTTAAAAATGGGGTACATAAATATACATAGAATTCTCAACAGAGGAATATGGAATGTCAGAAAAACACTTAAAGAAATGATCACTGTCCTTAGTTATCAGGGAAATGCAAATCAAAATGACTCTGAGATTCCATCTCACACCCATTAGAATGCTTAAGATCCAAACTCAAGGGACCACACATGCTGGAGAGGATGTGGAGAAAGGGGAACCCTCTTCCATTGCTGGTGGGATGTAAACTTGAACAACTACTTTGGAAATCAATCTGGCTCTTTCTCAGAAAACTGGGAATAGTGCTATCTCAAGACTCTGCCATACCACTCTTGGGCATATATCTGAAAGATACTCAATCATACAACAAGGGCATTTGTGTTCAGAGTAGCTTTATTCGTAATTGCCAAAATCTGGAAACAACCTAGATGTCTCTCAGCTGAAGAATATATAGAGAAATTGTGGTACATTTTCACAATGGCATACTACTCAGCTATTAAAAACAAGGAAATCATGAAATTTTCAGGCAAACGGATGGGATTAGGAAATATCTTCCTGAGTGAGATACCACAAAAGCAGAAATACATATATGGTACATACTCATTTATAAGTAGATATTATCCATATAATATAGGATAAACATACGAAAATCTATAGTCCTAAAGAAGCAAAACAGGAGTACCCTAGATAAAATGCTTAATTTTTATTCACAAGAAAAAAAAATGGGATGCAACCCTGACAACGTGGGAGAAAGGGAACAGGAAGGGAGCCTACCACAGATACCCTCTGAAAGACTCCGCCAAGCAGGGGATCAAAGCAGATGCAGAGACTCATAGCCAAACTATGGACAGATCACAGGGAATCTTATGGAAGAAGAGTGGTATAGATGGACCCAGAGGGAACAAGAGCCACACAAGGTGACCAACAAAGATAAAAAAAAAATCCATGGGGAACTGCAGAGACTGAGACATCAAGGAAAGACCATGCATAGAGAGGACCTGGATGCCCTGTTAGATGTAGTCCACAGACAGCTCAGTCTCCACGTGGGTTACCTACTAAGGGGAGAGGGAACAGTCTCTGACATGAACTGGCTTGCCCGTTCCTTGACCAGTCCTCCCTGGTGGGGCATCCTAACCAGCCCACAGAGGAAAAGGATCCAGGCAGTCCTTATGGGGCTTAATAGGCTAGGGTCAGCCAATAGGGGAAGAGGACTTCCCCTATCAGTGGCCTAGTGAACAGGGATGTGGGAGGAAGAGGAGGGATGGAGGGACTGGGAGAAGATGAGTGAAGGGGATACAACTGAGATACAAAGTGAATAAATTATAAATAATAACAATTATTATTAATAATAAAGTTTTAGAATATGTTACTCTAAAACCTTATTTGATGTCTAAAAAATGAAAATTGCTTAGAAAGAACATGCATAGTTACAGCAGCTTTGGGGAAATATAATGAACTTAAGTTGTCTTATTAGCAGAATGCTTTAACAGTCCTCCAAGTGGCTGGTGGCTGACATGTCACTGCAACATCCTTTTTTTTTTTTTTTCAACTCCTGCTGCTATATTCCATGTCTTTATTATAACAAGAGGCCTGAAGGTAGAGAAAATCACTCTGCCTTTAAAACATTGTGAAAGATACTGTTTCAATTCTTCATTTGTGAAAGAAGGATCCATTAAACAGACACCAGAAGACCTGGCAGCTTTCTAATTACTTTTGCACTTGAGAGACAAGAAAGGTGCTAATGAATCAACTGTGGACAACTGAGGGTACAAGCACACAAGGGGCTACAGATTCTGTCCCCAGTAGAGTAGAACCTGCCATCACAACCCTGCTCCAAATAATAAGTCCTTAAAGAGTTGTGAAATTCAGCTCTTTTACAGCACATGGGTTGTCCATTCAAGCTTTGGTAAATTGTAAGTAAGGAGTGCTACATTTCCACTGAGAGATTTTGGCGTTTTCTGTTATGCTCTGAACAGTAATGAAACTATTGCCAATTGTCCAACTTCAGCATCAGAGTGAACAATTTAGAACACTATGTTCTAATTTGTAGGCTATTTAAATTTCAACCCTCTATATCTCATAAGCAAGAGCACTATTTAAGTAATGATTAAAATTCATAATATACTTATATTATCATTTATTGCATATGGTATTACGATTTTTTATTATTTAATACTATATTACAGCACTTTAAAGATATTTGAACACATTTAAATTTCAGAACTACCTTATTTAATAATTATAATTATATTTAATACATATGGTTTATTTTCAATTTAATAAGATAATAGTACTTTTAAACAATTTAGATCTATATTTCTTTTAAAAAATATTATAGGAATTATTTTATTTTTTCCATTTGTTTTTCATCCTAGTGGATGTTCATAGTTCTCATAGTTCTCACTTTTTGTTACAGCTGCTCAATTCTTCATTATAATGTGCATATTTTAAGGTAGAATTTCTGATTTGTAATTTCATTTCATTTATTTTGTTATTGATATTTATTGTAGGGCTTAAATGCAGAATATCCTTCAATATCAAATTTTATAATCCCATTAATGTGTGATATTTTTCTTCATTTGTTTTTCAATTATTAACTAGTCAGTGTGTATTGTTTTAAAGTATAAGTGCATCTATAAATTAACATAAATTTGAATGCATATGTAACTCTTGTACAGTATAATATCTTGTTTATTCATGTCTAATATATTAATTCTATATTAATAATACATAAAATGCATTTACACATTACACTTCATAAAAATTACTTGTCAATATGATCATATGTTTTGAGGTTGCATGTCTGTTTACATGAACAGCTCTTTCTCTGTGTATTAATGTAACAAAATTTTGATGATCATTAGCTCATTTGGTAAGCTTCTTCAAGGGTTCCTTTTTTTAACCATAGTGAAAAAAATGTTTAAAGGTTGTAAGTACATTCAGTTTTCCTGTTCATTCATAAGCATGTATTCTGATTGTTGTCTTGGAATCATAAAATGACTGTGAAAGAATTTCATACTCATTTAAGCATGTTGACTTGTTTTTTTGGGTTTTTTTAGATTTTATTTTTTCTTTTTATGTATTTGATTTTTTTTCTCTCATACAATGCATACCAGCCTCAGCTCCCTCTCTCTCACATCCTCCCAGTTCCCCATCTCACCTT